ATACACATAGGAATGTCAGAAGGTCTTCCATTTCCAGTAATGGTGAACTCCATCATTAGGACAATGAAGGAAGATGGATGAAATCAGAATTAGTGTAGGCTAACATGTATTTCTTGCTCATATGACCGTCCAGTATAGGTTGGCCAGGACACTACTCTTGCCGTCCTTCTTAGAACCAGGCTTTGTCCCTGTTGTGCTTCTACCCCTCTTTCAAGTCCTCAGAGCCCATCTGTTCAGCCTGCAGATGAGTAAAGGAAGTGAGGATTCTGTGGGCCAGATCAGGAAGCCATGCTGTTCACTTTTTCTCACATTCCACTGGCCTGCACCTGATCACATGGCCACACCTAAACACAAGAGTCTGAGGAATATAGTCTAGCTGTGTGCCCAGGAAGGTGAGGAAGACATGGATAGTGGTGAGTGCTAGCAATCTTTAAAAAAATGAGCCTTTAGCAGCCTCACTGGGTCAGTGGGACAAAAGTCAGAGTTTAGGGCCAGCCCAGGATGGGAACCCAGTAAACTGTCCCCCACTTTGGATGGAGCTCCAAAGGACTGCATGCTAGGAATAAGTGTGAGCCAGAAGTCAACCAGCTCTCTAATGGACTTCAGTCAAATTCAGTGAGCTGAGTAACTTAGAGTACTTCAAGCCTTGAGCTTGGATTTTTTTCTACAAGTATTCTTTTTTTCAAAGATAAAATCCAATACACAAAGATAACCAAACATATGAGGAGACAAGACACTGCGGATGTGAACAAGCAAAAAGAACAAACGATAAAATTAGGAACTCCAGGTATTGGAATTATGAGTCCATATTTTAAACAGCTAAGCTTACATATTCAGAGAAGGTTTTGTTTTTTGTTTTTTTTTGTTTTTGTTTTTGTTTTTAAAGATAGGCTTGGAAATTTAAGTGTAGGGGTCTAGAGACTATAAAATGAGATATATCAGCTTTGGAAAAGAATCAATAGAGATTCTGGACCTGTAAAGCACAATAACCAAAATAACTCAATGGATGAGTTTAAGAGCAGATAAACCACAGCTAAGGAGAAATACAGTGGACTCTAGAATATAGGTCAGAGGAAAGTGTCTACAATGAATCGTGAAGAAATGAAAACAGGAAAATAGGAAGTAAAGGATAAAAGCAATGGAGAATATGCAGTCTAACCCAGGTTCCACTAGAGAGCCGGAAGGAGGAGAGAGACGGAGAACGGAGCAGAGGCAGTGTATGTTTACAGACGGCCTACCCTTGTCTGAGATTGTGGAGAAAAGGATGCTGACAGCACACATCAAGCTTGCATGGAGAAAATTAGCTCAGGCTCAGACGTGATATAAATGGGAGTATATCTCCCTGGGCTGTGACGTGGATTTTGACATCACTACACCTTTGATCTGGGGAACTCTGGTGCTTGACTGCAAGAGCTAACCGTGAGCTACTGGGGGATGCTGCCATTCACCTCATCCCCTCTCTCTCTCGCTCCCCTAGTGTGAAGAAGCATGAGCTGAACGTAACTGTTTAACTGAAGTCAAATTTTACCCCAAATATGAAATCCTTTATGCTTTTGTCACACTGTAAAGGAGAAAATATATGTTCAGCCTTATGTTTTATTTTCTTTTTAAATGTCCCTGAAAAAGTTCCACTTCTATAGCTTAAGAAAACCTTGGGGAAAAAAATGTCCATGACACAACTCATGTTATGATCTCACACGTGTGAGGTAAGTGATAAGATGCCCATTATCAAAATGACCCCCCAAAAAAGCATTATTGTTTTTGCTGTTTAAAAGTAAGTAACACAAGTTCATGGGGCGGGGGGCAGTGGGGAATCAAAAAAGTATAACAAACAAAATTCACCTTTTATTCCACCACCTAAAGGTAACTGCTGTTAACATTTTGGTCTATATCTTCCTAGACTTTTCCTACGTACATACTAGGCTATACAACAAAGGCTTGCCTTGGGAGTGGGGAGTTTGAGCCAACTAAGAAAGAGTGGGGGGTTTTTTGTTTGTTTTTTTTTGGTAGGTGGTTCAATTGTTTTTGGAGACAAATGGATATAAAAGAAGGAATAAGCCTGCTCCTTGGGCTATGTTGTGTTTTATGCATCATTCATTCACTAATTCATTCCGTAAAGATGAAGCCCTTCCAATGTGCCATGTGCTGGGGTAGGGGCTGTTTGTTCTGTGGGCCTGGGGCCCTTCCCCACATGTGGTGCTAATAGTATTACCAAAAAAGTGGGAGGGAGAGGGCCTGAGACAGACGCTATTTTTGTCATCTATAAATGACTTCATAGGGGGCTAAGGTGCCTGGCTACCAGATATTTTGGTGGACCGGAGACAGTAGGAAGGAACAGAGGAAACAGCTTTTACCTCCTGAGCACAAAGGCAGAAGCAGACTGGAGTCAGCCAAATCATTCACTTGTTTAGGCTGCCTGGCCTCATGAGCTCAGGAAAATGTTATTTGATAGTTAATAAAAAATAGCTACTGTTCATGAAGTATCTATCTGTTGTATGCCAAATAGGTACTACGCGTACATCATTTCATTTGCTTTTCACATGAACTCTGTAAATAGCATTTATTGAGCACTTACTGTGTGACGGCCACTATTATAAGATTTTACATGCAGTCAGTACAGCGAGGCCTCAGGACAAACTTGAGACATGTCCTGCCATGATCCCCCATTTACAGATGAGGAAATGGAGGTTCAGAGGGATTGCTCAAGGTCACATGACTGGAAGTGACAGACCAATGATTTCAAAGTGTCTTAACATGGTTTTTGCCCACAGTTGTTTGACTTATTTATGTAATGAAAAATAACACTTCTGAGTAATAAGGAAACCCCCAATCTCTCACCAGAATCAGTCCTGAAAGTTTGTCACTTCTTGGATACTTCAACATCAAAGCCAGTATAAGAAAACACTCTTTTAGATACCTTCTAAAAACTTCATATTTTAAATTAATATTAATCTTATTGGAGATGATTTCCTTGAAGACGTCCTTCAATTAATGCACTTCATTCTTCCTATTTTTTTTTAAAGATTTATTTATTCTAGGGGTGTAAGGGGCAGAGGGAGAGGGAGAGAGCCTTAAGCAAACTCCTTGCTGAGTACAGAGCCCCAGGAGGGGCTCAATCTCACGACCTTGAGATCACGACTGAGCTGAAATCAAGAATTGGATGCTTAACTGACTGCACCACCCAGATACCCCCATTCTTCTTATGTTTTTAAAGAAAAAAGTAATATTGTTATCTTTTTTGTGGCCTAAATTGGGATTTCTTTGGCAATGAATAACATTTCTTAGTCTTAATGACCTTTTTTTGTGGTGGTAAAATAATACATAATGTAAAATTTGCCATTTTAACCATTTCTAAGTGTACAGTTCAGTGGCATTAAGTAAATTCACATTGTTGTACAACCATCACCACTGTCCATTTCTAGAACTCTCTTCATCCCAAAGTGAAACTCAGGATCCATTAAAAACAGTAACCCCTCATTGCCTCCCATCACCATTGTTTTTAAAGGAGATAGACAACTATATAAAGCTTAATTTTCTTTACATGAATGAGCACATGATTGTTTTAGGGATGTGAAGGAAGGGGATATTTGCTAATATAACGGCAACAGAACCTACTGACAAAGGTGTATAATTTGTAAAAATAGCTGAGTGGGCAGAATCCTGATTTTCAGTTGCCCTAGGCACTTCAGGGCGCTCCTGATGATGATTCTCCTTGGGCATGTGGTTATACTGATAGAAATCACATTCGTGCATAAAGAACGAGTTTAATTATACATAACTACATACCTAAGATGAGTTTTTACATTTTTTTACATATACTTTATGATTTACAAAAGACGAGACACTAAAGATCTCAAAAATATGGTGTGTGTCACCCTCAGAGCCTGAATGTCTTATTGTAGGAGTTTTGCTTCTTATCTGAAGAGGCCATATCTTGCCCCCCCCACCCCCCCCATAGGGAGTTGTCCTCTTTATGTGGGATCCCACAGTCTCTGTTGGTCCCTGCTTTGACCCTGAGGACTGGCAGATGCACAAAGACTGATTGAGCGTTTTGGATATAGTCGGTGGTGGAACAAAACTAACCGGTCCTATTGGGAATGACACTTCTTTACGTCCTCAACTTGTCAGTATTGAGCCTAATCCTAATCCTTTGGGCTCAAAATAATCTAAATAAAAAGCAGCCAAAGTGATATGAGTGTAATGTGTGCCCTAGGCACTGTGCTAAAGGCTTTACACGTATTCTTCCGTGTAATCGTCACAGTCCTGTGAGCTAGGAATCAAACTCCCGTTTTATAGATAGGAAAACTAAAGAGAAAGATGATGTGACTTGCCAAAGGTACCATTAATAAGTAACAGACTGAGGATTCACTCCTGGTCCATAACAGGCCTAACAGGAGGGTTCCCTCGTAAGAGAGCCAAGGTTAAACAGACAAACCAAAAAACCCCACACTCCAGTCCCTGTGTGGCCCAGTGAGTGGGAGAGTCTCAGGTAAGGCCAGGCACCGGGTCTGGAGGTATCAACTGAGGTGGCTCGAGATATTCTGTCACTCCCCACCACACTCGTCTTCTCTTTTTTTTTTTTAACATTTTTTTTTTTTACATTTATTTATTTGAGAGAGTGAGTGAGAGAGAGTGAGAGCACGAGAGAGAGCACAAGCAGGGGGGAGGGAGAGGGAGAAGCAGGCTCCCCTCTGAGCAATGAGTCCGATGTGGGACTCGATCCCAGGACCCCGGGATCATGACCTGAGCCGAAGGCAGATGCTTAACCGCCTGAGCCACCCAGGCGCCCCTCGGCTTCTCTCTTGCCGCTTTTCTACATCACTATTACAATTACGGCAGACACCATCCTTAGCCCGCAGTGAAAACACTGCTCCCTTTGGTCAAGTTACCCCAAAGCTGCCACCTAGATCAGACCGTGACCAGAAAAAGAGGTGTTTTCAAATTCAGGGCCACCGGAATTGGTGTCAGTTTTCTAGTCTTTATTTTCATTTTAATTACAGCCACTTGGAGCCAGTGACTATCTGGAACTGTCAAAGAATTTTGATACAGTATTCCTACGAAACATTCCACAATTTACGCTTGCAAAGAGGACGCAAGCTCGAAGATTCATAACCCTCATTGATAACTTCTATGATTTCAAGGTAAGGATGTAGTGCATTTTCTCAAGACTAAACATTTTGGACTGTGGAGTCAGATTGCCTGGGCTGGAATGCTGGTTTATTCTCTGGACCTCAGTGTCCTCATCTACAAATTGGGGAAAATAGTATTTCCTTCAGAGCATTGTTGAGGGCAAAATAAGCTAATCCATGAAAAGCACTGAAAGCGAAGCTTGGCACAAGCCAAATGCTGTATACATAGTATCAGCGATAGCAGTAAAATTGTAGTATTGTAACACTTCCATCAGAAGACTGCAATATCAACGATGCCATCATTCACCAGACCTAGCGTGTGTGCACTACGATGATGTACAAGGGAATGCCTTACCCACACTGAGTGCTCAGTCAATTCACGAGTTGCGTCAATACATGATTGGATGGGAAAAATAATGAATGAACAAATGAATGAGTGACTAGAGACCCTCCTCAGTATTGGAGCTCTCTCTCCCTGTGACCCAGAAACCCTCATAACTAGCATTGCATCATCTTGTTTGTTGGTTTTAGCCATGTGTTTTCAGGTGAGTTACGGAGCCCGTGTCCATTCATCAAAGGCAGAACTGCCCACTGATGAAAGAGTGGGCCTTGGGGCCAGGCTGTCCGCCTTGAGGACCAGCTTAATCTCTCGAGCTGCAGTTGCCTTCTGTAGAAAAAAGAGGGGGGAATAATGGTACTTATTCTATATGGTTGTTGCAAGGATTAAATGAGCACATAAGGCACTTAGAACATTGTGCGGCATAGAGTCAGATTTCAGTGAAGGTGAGCCACTATTTATAGTATATATCTGTGGGGTGCCTGGGTGGCTCAGTCGGTTGAACATCCAATTCTTGGTTTCGGTTCAGGTCATGATCTCAGGGTCGAGAGATCGAGCCCCACATCAGGCACAAGCCTCAGCACGGAGTCTGCTTGAGATCTTCCCTCTCTCTCTGCCCCTCCCCCCCGTGTTCAAGCTCTCTCTCTCATAAATCAATAAATCTTTTAAAAAAAAATAGTATAGGGTGCCTGGGTGGCTCAGATGGTTAAGCGTCTGCCTTCAGCTCAGGTCATGATCCCAGGGTCCTGGGATTGAGTCCCTCATTGGGCTCCCTGCTCAGCAGGGAGCCTGCTTCTCCCTCTGCCTCTCTCTCTGTGTCTCTTATGAATAAATAAAATCTTAAAAAAAATAAATAAATAGTATATATCTGTAAATACATATTTATAGTAAAAGCATAAGTACAACTTCAAAATAGAGTTAAATATCATTTTACTGTTAGATATAACTTTTCTCCTTATTGTACAGAAATAGAGCAGTGATTCTAAAATTGAAGGGATCTGAGGGGAGGAGGAAAGTACCAGAATCCACTGGGAGGAAGAGATGAAATTTTAATGCTTCTTTTATTCATTCATTCAACAGCCTTTCTCATACCAAGTGCAGTGCTAAATATTAGAAATTCGATGACAGGCAAAGCCAGATCTGGTGCCAGCCTTCATAGAACTTACAGTCTGGTGTCAGAGAAGCATTAATCAAATATCCACAGAACTGAATGTAAAGTCGCCCCTCAGCGCTGGTGTTTTGGAAGGCTTGAGAGAGGAGTATGGTGCCGTGAGGGTCTGGGGGAGAGTAGACTGATCTCTGTGGGGGTGGGGGTGGGCCTAGGGAAGTCCTGCTGAGGACAGCCTACTGTCAGAATCCCCTGGGCTAGAGCCCACCCACCCCAGCTCAGTAAATGAACCCTCATCCTAGAGGATGGACATGAAAACCTGCATGTTTGCAAGCCGCTCAACTGCTGCTTGTAAGTGCTGAGAAGTGATGCCTAAACGCCAAGGCAGGGGGGACGTTTGTAGCAAAGGCCCTGGGGCGGGCCTGAGCACAAAAGGCAGCTGGCTTGGCTCAGGTGCAGTGCTGAGAGGAGCCTGCCATAGCGAGTGACATCCAAATGTGGCACATGCTCCCAGGGGGCCAGCGTTCATGTGCTCCAGGAGGCCGGACGGCAGGGAGCTGAGAACACCAGAGCAAGGGGATCAAGTCCCGTCACCTACCAGACACTGCTCTGAAATACTCATGTTGGGTCCGGAATGAAGGGAATGAGCCTGGAGGTGGCCCTCTGTTTTTAGAGGGCTAATGCTTCAAGAAAAAAGTGGTAGAGGGGCTTTAGTAGGTGGTTCTTAGAGTAGGAGGATTGATAAACTCTTACTTGTCTACATGGCAGCTAGGAATACCTTAAAGAAAACATATGGCCCCCAGCCCTCTGTCCTACCCCTGGTCCTATCTTACTCCCCCCACTGTTTCACTTCTTAGTCAATGGGAGGGAAGAATTCTGTGGTGATATGATGGAATACCAGAACCACTCTCCTAACATTTGCTTTAACTATATCACACATTGAGAGTTTGTGTTCTTTGTTTAAAGACTAGTTGAAATTATCTTATTTCAGAAATTGGGAGCATTAAACAGGCATTAGTCTAGAATGTATTCATGGAAATTGGTGAAATTGAGTATTCATATCTAAATAATGAAAAAAGTGTCATTTGTGATTAAAAGGAATGTGTAAGAGGAGGTAGAAGGCCATCCAGATATGGAAAAACTATTCCCAAATGTCATACATTATTTTAAGGTATTGGCATCGTTGTTTAATGATGTTTAAAGGGTAGCTGTGAATCCTGAAAACAAATTCAGGACTTTTTAAACATCAAGAAAAGTATGTTTTGTATTTAAACTGGTGGACATAAAATTTATAAAGATATAAAAGGTGTTTCCAGTATATGATCACATATGCACATTCACTCAAACACTTGTGTAATCAAGAAATATTAATGTCAAGCTTAGTCTTTTTGAAGAATGCCTTGGTAGGATGCTGATCGAAGTGTAGGTTCTAGAAATTCAGGGTCTAGTTAGAGTACCAATACACTGAACATACCAGAGGTGGTAACCTCTTTGCAGTGCATGAAAAGTACCCCCCACATGCACGGGCCCGAAACAGCCAGGTGTAAATGTCAGCCTCAGGGGGTAATGGAAAGATCACTGGACTTCGAACTGGGAGACCTGAGCTGGCCTCATGAGCTGAGACCTCTCCAGGCCTAAAGTCACCCAATAAAACCTTTGCTCCCTACTTTATAGGATGTTATAAGCTGTGTGGAAATATTTTGAAAAGCACTCTGAAGTTTAAAAATATCACACAAACTAGCTCCCTGTGATGACAAACAGATTTTATTTTGTGCGATATTTGTTCCTACCTTGAACTTGTGAGATGTAGGGAGTACTACCATTCACTCATCTTCCTCTTTCAGGTGCGTGTCATTTGCTCAGCATCGACTCCTATAGCAAGCTTATTTTTGCATCAACATCATGACAGTGAGTTGGAGCAAAGCAGAATACTGATGGATGATTTGGGGCTGAGCCAGGTAGGCAATATTAACATAATCTCTTTTTATTATAAAACAGCCTAATTGTTTTTGGTTTTATATGTGGCTACATTTTGAAGAAGGAATGCAGTATGTATTTAACCATTGATTTGCTGCTCCTTTTAAAGCCAAGAGAGCAGTCTTTTCCTCAGTATCACTAAATGTAAAGAATATAGTCTTAGGGTAGAAGGAATCTTCATGTTCTGTTTTTGCATATAATGAAAACAAAGACCAGAGGGGTGGACCAGTGGGCCTCTGCTCACAGAGCTGACTAATGGCAGGCCAGAGCTGGACACCAGGGCACCCGTGTCTGGTTCCGGGCTCATTCTGCTACCCCATGCTGACTGTTCTAGGTACTCTTCATGTCTACTGGATTTGTAGAGCGCGAGATACAGTATCCAAGCATGTGGGCTGGCTATCCCAGGACCAGGGAGTGCCTGGCAAGGCCCTTGGCTTACAAAGAAATCCATTATTCATCTGCCAGCCCCATTCCATAAACATTTCAGGAGCACCTGTGGTGCAGTGCTCTAGGGACGCTCTGTGGAAAACGAGCTGGTGCTGGCCCAGTTCTCCTGAAGCTTGGGGTCTGGTGATTTGCCCCAGGCCAACCGGAAGTGATTTTACATTTCCTTCTTCTGTATGAACATGGCAAGATATATTGCTCAACAGTTGAAATATTAGTCAAAATTTTAAAGCTATCCATAAACACCTCCAGAATGAGCAATCCCCATTATTCCAACCCCAGAAATGAAAGGCCATTGGAATGAGGAAATAGTTTCTTAGTGACCTGAGTAGAAATTATGCATTCTTAGGAGTTTGGGGGAAATGAGGCCTATAATACGTTAGAAAGTGAACTTTCCAAATATGACTACTTAAATGTATGTGTAGAAATAAATAGTTGCTTATAAACCCATATGCTGGGAACCTTCAAAATGGTGGTTTCTCTAAGAGCAATACATCTGTCCGAATAATGTATTTTACTGTTTGAAAAAATATACTTGAGGGGCTATATCATTTCAGTTTCTAAAGTTCCTTAAATCATTGGTTCTTCAATTTGTCTCCATAGGATCAGGGTTCAGATATAGGGTCAAGCAAGCTCAGCATGCGGGGCTAACAATATGTGAAGAAATGAGGGCTCATGACCACAGGGTAATGTAGTTTTGCAGTGGGTCAGCAGGAATGCATGGACTAAGGAGTCCAGAAGTTTTCTCTGAGGAGGTGTGATAGCAAACCCCTAAGGAAAGAGACACAATTTCTCTTTCTCACTTACTGGCCACAAGCCCATGTTGGTATCACCAGTCCCAGGCTATTTGCTGGCCTCACAGAGGGATTCCCAAACTTAACCCTGGTTAAGTAGCTCAAGACCCAAGGCAGCTCTGCCTTCCCCAAGTAGACTCGCAGGCCAGATCTCTAGGCCCACAGGAGACCTCTCTGTCAGCCGGTGCAGAAAAGGCTCTGCGGAGGCTTGTCCTCAGGGTCTCCTGTTGGGCACGTGGCACCGCCCGTGGTGCTCCGGAGGAGGGTGTCAGCCTCTTCCTAACTTGCCTGAACTGCTGGGGTTTTTTTGGTGTTACTTATTTCTGGCGTACATTTTTAGAGAAAGAATTCTTTTTCTGACATTGTCTTTCCTTTAGGTTTTGCAGAAAATTTTCATCTTGCAAAAACTTTCTTCTTGCAAAAATCTTCATATTTGGATTTTGGGACATTGGTTCAGCTTTTTTTTTTTTTTAAAGATTTTATTTATTTATTTGAGAGAGAGAGAGAATGAGAGATAGCACGAGAGGGAAGAGGGTCAGAGGGAGAAGCAGACTCCCCGCTGAGCGGGAAGCCCGATGCGGGACTCGATCCCGGGACTCCAGGATCATGACCTGAGCCGAAGGCAGTCGCCCAACCAACTGAGCCACCCAGGCGCCCAGTTCAGCTTTAATTATTCTTGTTTTTCCCTATTGTTTTCTCCCTGGTAATTTGTTCTGACTATTGATTATTGGTTTAAATTAGTTAATTCTCCAGTCTAGTTTAAGAGATCGTATATGGAAAAAGTGTATAGAACATTTTATAATCTAAACCTAAGAAGTTGTTTTAAACCTGCACTTAGTTCTGTAAATTTTTATTTGTGGTAGTTTTTATTAGTGCTGGGTTGTTTTGTTTTGTTTTGTTTTTGAATTGTATTTTGGTAACCAGGACTCAGCAGAAGGACTCTCTATGTTTACTGGAGAAGAGGAGATCTTTGCATTTCAGCGCACGCTTTCCCGACTCACCGAAATGCAGACTGAGCAGTACTGGAATGAGGGGGACAGAAGCAAGAAGTAACCATTGCTTTTGCGTGAATAGAACTCTGGACACATGATTACGGCAGGGAGAACTCTTTTTTTATGGGACTTGAAGGAATCGTTTTTCTCATCATTAATTATGCACTTTGTCCTCTGGACCATTTTTATCTCAAATTGCTGTCAAAGATGGACTGGATTAGTAAGTTAAAGCCATTTTTATAGGTTTACTTTTTGCCTATTTATTTGGCTTTATTTCTGCACTACAAAATTAAAATCATCACTCCTGATATTAAGGTAGGACCAGACATTTTGGCTTCATATCAAGCCAGCTGAATAACACACACACACACACACACACACACACACACACACGCACGCACATGGTTAAATGCAGTGTTGTTCTGGACATCTCCAAGCTTTGGCTACATGGTAGCCGCATGATACAAACATGCCTTTTATGAGAGGGAGAAAAACCCTACATTTCAATACAAAGCAGAGAAACTTTCTGATGCTATTATAAACTAAAGAGAACATTTTAGAATATGGTCTTATCCATGTGATTTTGGGGGGCCATAAATTATACTAAATCTCCTAGGCCTCAGGTTTCCTCACAGTTGAGACTATGTTTTTTACCCTGAGATCAAGCTTGGCAGGCAGGACCAGATCTTCAGTGGACACAGAGTTGCCTGAAAAAGTTGAGGATTATGACACCAATAGAATAAGCAGCACGGATGTCAAATTCTAACCGACAGGCAGAGCCCACAATCCTGACTGCCACTAGGAGGACAGATCCCAGGAAAAGGGGCTAGTGAAAGCGAGTCAGGAGGAGACAGAGTCCTGGACGTACCAGCAGCAGAGTGGATTCCAGTGCATCTGAGGCCAGCAGGACCCCGGTGGACGGGAGCCTCCTTCCCACGGCGCAGATGCATTTGCTGTGCTTGCAGAACCCCACCCTCCACCCTTGCCTCTGCTTCTGTGATGAGACGAATTTAATAGTAAATAGGGAAGAACACTTGATGAACCTACTTAAATAAAATCTGACTTGTCCTTCATTGAGGCCATTCCGTGATTCATTTAAGTACCACCTGACTTTCCTAACTCTTACCACAGAAGGTATCTTAGTTGAGGCTGTTATGAGAGTCTGAGTCCCTCTTCAAGAAAAAAGAAAAAAGGAAAAATGTGACATCTTATAAAGCGTTGTGAAAATCACATATTTTTTGAGGGGGTAGGCCCAGTTCAAATAAAATGGTTACAGCTGTCAACATAAGTAAGCTCTTTGAATCTGTTTAATTTGTAAGTGAATAATCTATCCACATTAGTCTATTTTGGACATTAACCTAAGTCAAGCAGATTGATGGATAGGGTACCCAAGTATAGAGAAAAGTTTAAATCCTGGCTTCTGAAAACTAAATGGGGGTTTAAAAACATTAAAATTTTCTAAAATTGAAGTACAGTTGACACAATATTACTTAGTTTCAAGTGTACAGCGTGATTCAACAAGTCTGTACATTCTGCTGTGCTCACCACAGGTGTAGCTCCCGCCCGTCCGCACTCGACGCTATTACAGTACCGTTGACTGTGGTCCCTACGCTGTGCCTTTTAACCCTGTGACTTACTCATTCCCTAACTGGAAGCCTGTACCTCCCCTTCCCCTTCACCCATTCTGCCCCTCTCCCCTCTGGCAGGCATCAGTTTGTTCTCTATATTTATGGATTTGTTTCTGCTTTTTGTTTGTTTCACATATAAGTGAAATCACGTGGCCTGACTTATTTCACTAGCATGATATCCTCCAGGTTCATCCATGTTGTCGCACATGGCAATATCTCATCCCCTTTTATGGCTCAGTATAAAAATACCTTTACTGAGGTGAAACAAAAAAGAGTTCAAAAGAGCCACATTTATTGCTAGATATTTATATGATCTCAGAAAAAAAAATTATCCTTGAGAGTTATATAATCGTCCCTGTTTATCGATAAGGAACCAAGGCTTGGAAAAGTTAAGTATCTGAACCTAAGATTCACAACTATAAAACTCACGGACTATACCACACCACTTCTATGAGGAAGAGATTATTTTAAATAGTGATTTTTATTTATTTTTTTTAATTTTTTTAAAAGATTTTATTTATTTATTTGAGAGAGAGAGAATGAGAGATAGAAAGCACGAGAGGGAAGAGGGTCAGAGGGAGAAGCAGACTCCCTGCTGAGCAGGAAGCCCGATGTGGGACTCGATCCCGGGACTCCAGGATCATGACCTGAGCCGAAGGCAGTCGCTTAACCAACTGAGCCACCCAGGCGCCCTAAATAGTGATTTTTGAAAAAATTCAGTGAAGGGATGCCTGGGTGGCTCAGTCGGTTAAGCGTCTGCCTTCAGCTCAGGTCATGATCCCAGGGTCCCGGGATCGAGTCCCACATCGGGCTCCCTGCTCAGCGGGGAGCCTGCTTCTCCCTCTGCCTCTGCCTCTCTCTCTCTCTCTGTCTCTCATGAATAAATAAATAAAATCTTTAAAAAAAAATTCAGTGAAGATGAATTTACAACAGAACCATTGCTTTGAATTCTATAAATATAAAATGTGTAACTCATTTCTATCAATCGTAGCTTTTTGCTTTTCACTTTTTTTTTTTTTTTTGCTTTTCACATTTCTTTGGCAATTATCCTGTATCTTAATAAAAAGACAGTATGAATGGATGGACAAACAGACAGATGGCTGACTGATAGAAAGAGGAACTGTCTCTGTGTGTGTTGGGTGTATGTGAAATAGTCCCCACTCAAGTTCTGTTGTAAAAGTTCAGTTGAGGTCAGGTATTTGGACCTAGGTTTTAATTTTTCCATTTTCAATAAACAATGATGTGATATTAGGGCCCTGACTCAATGCACAGAAGCCCACATGATTCTCAGTGTAACTGCCCCAAATTTTGGTACTAAAGAACTTAAACTTTTAAATATTGTTTCTGTAGGGCAAAACTATAGTTCCGGTTTCACCTGAGTACCTGGATCATGTCCCTGCTTCTGTCCCGTCCCTTATGCCCCACGTTCTCCTGGGCCTGGTAGGATAGGCTATAGTGAAGGGGCTGTCTGAGCTGGGAGTGGGAGAGGGGAGTTCCATGGTGGCTGGAAATGGTACATCTTTATGCCCATCTCTTCTCCACAAAGTCTGTTTCATAAAACAGCCTGCAAGAAGGAGAAACAAAAGTCTTAAAGAATAGCTATTACCAAAAAAAAAAAACTGTTACCAGGAAACAATATGGTACTAAAAGAAAATTAATGCCAAAATGAGAGATGAAAAAAAACTTTTAGATTGGAAAGCAGTGGTTTCAATTCATGTGTTTTTCTTCCAAGTCCTGTCCCTATTACATTCTGAACATTCCAGCCTTTCTCCCTGGGGTTGCATGAAATCTCTCAGAGCAAATGCTCTCTTTCTTTTAATGCTTTAAATTGATACTTGAAGACAGGCGTTTGAGCTGAGTGTTGCTGTGGAATACTCCCATTCGCCTAGAAACTCAAACCGAGGAAATCTTTAGAGTCGGGAAAATGCCCAGGGCACCCTCTGCAATGATCCCTAATTTCCAAACTTGGAAGAAATTAAATAGAGAAAAAGGAAAGCTTTTCTTTAAAAAGGAGAAAGAAAAATCCGATCACTGCATTATTCTTGCTGGACAGGCTTATGTGCCAACACCAGTAATAATGAAAAGAAAAACATGGTGGACTTAAAGAATTTTTAACCTATTTCTTACATTTATAAAATGTAAAAGACTATTATGGTACCATTCTAATCAAATTTTATGCATTTTCAGTGGGATTTCAAATTTTAGTCATAAGGAAATATTTTAATCTTCCTAAAGTACATTTTTTTGTACCCGTAAGTGTACAAATAACATAATATTTAAATTACTAAAAAAAAAGATTTCACTTGTAAAATATATGAATGGATGTGCTCAGATCCATTTATTTAACATTATTTAAGAAACACATGGTGCTTACTGTGTGCTGGGCATGGTTCTAATGCTTTGTACATAAACTCTTTTGATCCTTATAACAGTCCTGTGAGCTAGGTACTGCTCTTACCGCTTTATACACAGGGAAGCCGAAGCACAGAAAATGGTAAAACAACATACTGAATTGCTAACATGTACATTGGAGCCGTAAAATTACCCACATACTAATTTATGAAGCTTTCCATGTAACTGCATTGGTCCTGAAAACAGTCTCCCTAGTCCAACTACTTGAACCTACACTTGTAGCCCCTTCATCTGGAATAGAAGCACCCAGAGACATTGGGGTCCTGGGGCCCTGACATTTGGGTTCCTGACTGATTGCCGGAACCTGGCAGCAAGTCTGTAATGAGTGATGTCGTGCTCTTGGAAATTATCATCATCAGATCTACTAACCTGAAAGACATCCCTTGCTGGTAGAAAAAGATTTTCTTTGGAGATGGAGTTTACACCTTTTTCTTAAGGCAGAATTGAGATTTGTTTTTCCCATTGGCATAGCAGTTCATTTTCCTGGAACATAAAATTAAAACTAATAAAATCTGTCCTCTTGTTGAATGTCTGCTGACTGTCCAGCTTTGCACCGGAACCTCTCATCTGTTACCTCAGCCAGCCACTCGGCCCGGTCGAACATGTCGTCTGCGACAGTGTGAAACTCCAGAGGATATCTGTCTTTCCTGCTTGCTTACGAAGTCTTCCAGAGGTTGTCCTGAGAAGTTTCCTGCCTCTGGGCTGTACTTTTTGGGTCCCCAGGGGTTGACTGCTGGTCTCTATGCTCTGCCTGTTTTTCTCATCTGAGCACAATGGGAAGGGTGCAGGATCTGGTTCTGCCAACTTTTGATCTCTGAGCCTCAATTTTCTCGTCTATAAATGAGAACAGTAATACCCATTTCCCAGAGTTATTCCGAGACTAGCTGGTAAAAAGTACTTTGCAAATGGTAAAAGGTTAAGTGAAGAGTAGCTGTTATTGATACTAATAATGAGGATCATAAAGCAATAATAAATGCCAACTCTGCTTTGCATTATAGCCTTTGAGGAATACAAAACAGTAGATGACACATCCCAACCCAATACGGTTTCTAGCAGAAGGGAAAAGAGACACATTAAATGGCTAGACCCAAGGGCACGGAATTCTGGCTTAATAAGATGCTGTGAAGATTGTCAAATTCAAATGTATTCTTTCAGGACTAGAGAGAAAATAGACTTGCCTGTTTGGCGAACATCGAAGATTTCCCGGAAAGAGAGCTCCATCTTGTGGTCAGTGGGATGAACTGACAGAAAAAAAGTCCAAGAATCCCACAGGGTTGGAGAACAGGGGCTCTCCAAGTCGCATGTTCCCAGGCCTAGGTTCCACCCG